AAAAATGTATTTCATGTGTGTACTGGATGGCTGTGTACAGCTTAAAAAGGGTTAAATTGGTAAATATTGTACTATGAATATTTTACCACAACTTTGAAAAATCGATTTCATTCTTAAGGTTCTCACATTCTAATAAGGAAGAAATATACATACAGAACTGACCAAGACAATGTAGAGGTGTTGCAGCAGAGACATGCCAGAGGTTAAGAGGACTTATCGTGTTGCTAGGAGAACAAAAATGGCTTGTTTTTATCAGATGGAATCTAATGGGCAGCTGGGTTGATATCTGGTCCATCTTTATGGTGGGCGTTTGGCAAATGTCTGGAAACTGAACAAATGGAGGAGTGAATACGTGAGCCAAGACAGCCCAGGCACTATGAATTAAGAGTCCTACATTAGTGTATAAGAGGATGTACTTTACTTAGTTTGTCTACCCGAGGTTTATTGCATAAAACCCACTATTTTATGCGATAGAACTCTTGAGATTGTCTTGGAGTGGAAAGTTTACAGGATACAGGAAGGGTATATGAAGCATTCTGGGGTGGCCCTGTGTCTCCAGGCCTCCAGTGATTATATTGGCATGGCAGTTGTGGACGGCCAGCTCACCTGTGTCTACAACCTGGGCGAGCGAGTGGCTGAACTCCAGGTGGACCAGATCTTGACCGAGAGTGAGACACGAGAGGCAGTTATGGACCGAGTGAAGTTTCAGAGGTACAAGTGTGGTTGACTACTGATCTTTGTGAACCTGACTGTACTCCTCACACTCTCCCATTTATATGTGTTCCTGAACCCTGTTTTTAGTATCTTGGTGTTTGATTTATTAATTTTCTTATAACCTTATTATCAAAATTTAAACAGAATTTATCAGTTTGCAAGGCTTAATTATACCAAAGAAGCCACCTCCGCTAGACCCAAAGCACCCCAGTTTCATGACATGGATAGTGGAAGCAGCAACACACTTCTTAACCTGGATCCTGAAAATGTTGTGTTTTATGTTGGAGGTTATCCACCTGATTTTCAAGTAAGTATAACTGTTATCTCACTAAGAGAAAGTATTCACATTTTAACTTGGCATAATGACTTATGTATCTCTTTTAATTAATTATGTATAAACTAGAGTCAGCATCTAATGATAACAGCTAACACTTACTGAATACTTCCTCTGTGCACTGTTTTAAGCTCATGTATATTAATTTAAATAAATATCATCATTCCCATTTTAGCAATGAGGAAACTAAGAAAGGTTTAATAACTTGCTCAAGGTTGTATAGAAACTAAATAGCAAAGCCAGGGCATCCAGCTACAGGGTCCACGTTCTTAACCCTTACGCAGTATTGATTGTTCAAAGTGACCAACTTAAAATTTTTTTGTCAGTGTGATCATTGTCTTCTGCTCAACTGGTGGGAAATTTTTGGTATTGTTTCATTTTCAGCTTCCAAGTAGACTAAGATTCCCTCCATACAAAGGTTGTATTGAATTAGATGACCTCAATGAGAATGTTGTGAGCTTGTATAACTTCAAAAAAACTTTCAATCTCAACACAACCGAAGTGGAACCTTGCAGACGGTGAGTGAAACTGGGTGGCCAGCGTCTCTGTACCTGGGATGGGAACTGACTATACTTCCACATGTGGGAAGGGATGGCCAGTGGGATGCCATGGATACTGCTTGTCATTTTGGGCTTA